TTGATGACTTGAGCCTAATTGAACACAAATTTATAACGCCATCCAGTGTTGTAATTAAAATGTGGTAAATTTAGCCCATCAAATATATATACACACTCTCTCACAAAGCCATCAACAGTCTTTGTTTTGTATATGGTCAATTACCTTTTCAAAGTAGAATCCTCACAAGAATCCATCAGATGAATCGAGATGAAAGGAAGCCATCTAAGGACTTAACTTGCACCAAATTGACAAAGAAAAACTTGAAAAATTGTTCTCAAACAGTGAGAGAAATTAATTTTCCTTGGTGGTGGTGGAGGGGGTTGCTGTTTAGTCTTTATTGTTATTTGATGACCCCAGGATTATGGGAGCCTGGAGATGGCTTGGATACACTAAAAGGAATTGCCCGTGTGTCTCTGTCAGGAGTGCAGCCCATGTAGGAAAGAGGAAGCAGAACATTTTTCTTCCCAAAACCAATCCCTTAATGATGATCTACTGCAGGGATAAAGCATTGTGTGGGCTTCATTAACTCCAATTGGTCTTTGTTATCTGGTGACTTATTCTATCAGAGGGCATCTTCATGTCTAAAATTACATTTTGAGTCTAGAAACATTTCTTCCATAAATATTTTAAGAGAAGAATTAAAGAGGTACATGGGCACGGTGCTGGTGACAGGGAAACTGTCTTCATTATCAGGGGCTCATGATGGCATTTTTATTAGCCTTCTGCTGTGGTAGAGTGGAGGGGCTCTTGGACTCCAATAGCAGAGGAAAGAATGAGCTAACAATGAGAAGTCTCGGTGGTTCCCTTTTATTTGGGGCTAGAACCCTGATTTGTTCCAGGAGGAGGCTCTTCTGCCTGGCCGGCCTTGCTTTCTCCCCACTGCCCCCTGGTGGTGTTGGGTTGTACTTGGTGTTAACCCAACTCAAGAGTAAGACTCCATGGGTTTCCCCAAACCACTCTTAGTTTCAATAATTCATGACAACAACTCACAGCACTCAGGGAAGCACTATACTTATAGTTACAGTTTTAGTCTAGAAAAAGATACAAATTGGGACCATCCAAAGGCAGGCTTTGGCTTTTGCGTAGGGCAGAGTCTGGGAGAGGGCCAAGTGTGAAGTTTCCATCATCCTCTCTGCTTGGAGACTGGACGCTGTTACCCTCGCAGCTCTGATGTGTGACAATGTGCAGAGTGTTTCACCAAACAGAGAAGCGCATCCAAACTCAGTGTCTGGAATTTATTATTGGAGTTTTATGACATGGGCATGATTAAAGGGCCACATGGTTGAATTCAATCTCCAGACCCCTTCCCCTGAAGGGTTCAGGCTGATCTTGTTAGGGGAAAAAGGCTGTCCCAAAAGGGGAAAAAGGCCGTCCCAAAGCTAATTCCATACAGGCTTTGTGGACTCCACCCCCACCCCAGGCCAAAGCCAAAGACACTGGGAACTCTACATCCCATCTCTTTGGTTTTGGCCTGGGGTGGGGGTGGAGTCCACAAAGCCTGTATGGAATTAGCTTTGGGACAGCCTTTTTCCCCTAACAATCTGACATGGCTCAAAGCCCCAAGCCTCTAATCACGTGGTCTTCAGTGTCCCAGGCTCCACCTGAGTCATCTCCTTAACTTAAAGCCTCTACAGACACTTTGAAAAGGAGTCACCTCATTAGCATAAGGGATCAGGTGTCATCTGAGAGGCCAATTATGAGAAACAAAGACCCTTCTATTACTTGGGAAATTCCAAGTGCTTAGAGGTTACCTCCCAGGGACCAAGACAATGCCAGCCTGTTCTCCAGGAGAGGCCAAATTCCTTCCTCCCCTAGAGGAGGAACTAACTGTGCCTCTTCTGACATCACCTTTGGGCAGACCTAGCCAGAGATACCCAGAGAGACCAAGCCCGTCTCACCCTGGGCCCCCACCAGCTGTCAGCTGGGAGAGAGGGGGGCAATCTGTCGTCATCCAAGCTGGGAATGGGGGGTGGTTACTTGGAGACATGTTGGCCGAGCAGAGGGAGGCACCAGGAGGCCAGCCTCCGCATGAGCTCAGATGTGCCTACGGACACAGCAGCAAGGAGCTAGAACTCAACCAGAAACAAGTCCTGCTCTCAGAAATATGGTTATTCTCTTAGGCAGGGCCTTTTCTCTCCTTTCCTGCAAGTGATTTAGAAGGTTCCAGAGAATACATCTTATGGGCACTTGGCTGTCCCACCCTTATTCTAGAGCAAAAGGGGTACAGGCAGCCAACTCTCACTGCAGAGGATGACAGCTTGAGATGACCCGACTTGTGGGTTCTCAATACAGACTTGAATAACATTTAACTGTGTTCCTTTGACGCTTCACATCCATCCCTCTTTCAACAAGTTGTGGGTTCAGACCTAAATTAGGTAAACGAGATGACTTCCTTGCCATCAAAGGCAACCATATGCACCTTTGAAGCAGGTTTCTGGGGTGCATGTGAAGGGTTCTGAAGGCCACGGATCCCAGACTTGCTGTGAGGAAGCAAGCAAGACTAGGGTGTCCCCAAGTCTTATAGGCTGAAGCTACACCAAAGAATGAAGATCAAATTGAAAAATAATGTCAGAGAATAAAATTAATTAATTATGCTGGGCGAAACAAAGGCCCCCAGGCGAAGCCAGCTGTGGTGCAGCTGGACCTATGCCAGCAAGTCCAGGGTGCTAGCTCAGGGGCTGCTGTGGGTTGGCTAGGCCCCACTCAGGCTGTTCTGATGGGCCCTTCTGGGCCAGAGAGGAGCACCAGCCTGTCCAGGAGCCTTCTCTAGATCCCACAAGCAGCTTAACTATACCTTTGGGCTCATGATGGAGAGGGGCTGCCCTGGCCTTTCCAGAAACAGAATTTAACAGGATGGATGCAAATTGTAGCCCATCAGCTCTGCAGACTGCCTGCAGCTTGGTGGTGGTGGTGGTGGGAGGGGGGTAACCCAGCATCCCAGCCCTCCTCTCAGGCCAGCAGCAATTCATAGCCTTTGCTCCAAGTGACAAAGCTTCCCAAACCCATCTCCTAATTAGTTTCCTCCCACCAGCCCCTGACAGTCTGTAACAGTAGTGCTCAAGACCCTTTCTGCAGCGGATGTCACGCAGCTCCCCAGCACATCCCAGGTGGGGGCCCCTCCTGCTCCTGCACGCCTTAATTAAGTTAGTTAATTACTTGCCAACTTGAGGGGCTGATCAGGCCTTCTGCATGCAATGCAGACCTTATGCTGGATCCTCGCCACCCCAGGCCATCCCCAGTTCCCCAAGCAGGACCCAGCTTGGGGCTCTC